TGATTTTCTGATTTAAATGAAGTTCCTTTTCCTGAACCTCTGCAGGTCCCTTCAAGGCCACACAACTGGTTTTTATAGTATTTTCTTGCTCATTTTCATATCAAAATGTAAACTTCCTATTGCTGACATATATGACAGGCTGAGCTACAGCAGAAGCTCAACAATTTGAATGAAAAAATACATGTTTATTAGGATTTTGTACAACAGCTCATGATTTATAGTCTTGACTCCTTTGTGTAAAGCACTATGATGGAAGAACAGTGAAAAAAGAAACTTGGATATTTGCAAAATTTTTATAATCTATAGACTAACCCCTAGTTCATATCACCTACTCAACGACCCCTTTGTGATGGGTTACAAGGCAGTCAAGGGCCAGAGACCATTATCCAAGGCCAAGAAGCCAGTGCCTGATAGATTCAGAGCTAGGTCTTTACTTCCTGGACCCTTCCGAAAGAGCTACCTGCTTACTGAACTAAAGACTCCATCTTAACGGAGATGGGCCATGATCTCTACATTTGCCAAAGTTCTGAAAAAGAGAATAAACACCGTACCGTGCTCTGGGAGGGTAGGTTGCTGCAGGATCCCCAATGTACAAAAGTCAGGATCTTTCCTAAGAGCTCAGTGAGAAACTTGCTTTGGTACCAGACAGAATAGCAGGTCCAAGTTCTCAAAGATTTCCAAATAGTTGCGCTAAAAATAATCTTCTCGCTTAGTCCCAAAGAGCCAGAGGCCCTGGAAGTCATTCATCCAGCGAGGCTCAACTCAGGGATCAGTTAAAATTATGGTTTTGTTTGGGACCAGCTGTAAGTGCCGGCTTTTCTTGACTGGTACGTTTGGAAGCTTACCATCTCTCTTGCTGTGGCCTCTTTTAAAGATTTGCTTATTTAATTTTTTTCCTCTTTTCGCTGATTTTCCAATAGGATGGTTCTGGGAAAAAAATTACTCACTGACTGGAAATTGGTTATTAGCTTAGAGAAAAGTATCATTTACTACGTGGGGGCTTTTAGGTGGGGACCAAGAAGCATCATCCCCACTCTTGGCAACCATGGCAGGAAGCAGGCCTTTCATTCTCTGTATTGCAAATGAGAGGGCTATGAGCACTGTTTTGCTGTTTTCTTTGTTCTTAGCTGAACAGACAAATGATTGCAAGTGTCGGGAGATGGATATATAGGCTCCACGGTTGCTTGACAACATTTCCTAACAAGTTCAAAGGTATGGTGTATCTTTAAAGCCCAAGCAGTTGACTGTTACAGCAATCAGCATCCTTGTTGCCATCTGACATGTCTTTCTTATATCTCCTTGGCAACAGCAATCTGTAATACATGATGTCACTTATGGAAATCAGGTGATTTAAAAAAAACTCATTTTATCCTCCTAATTCTTCCCAACAGTAAGAATTCTAATTGAAGCAGGTTTTCATTTTTGTTTTCTGTTATGGTTCCCTAGAGTCTTGGAATTGAATACTGATCGCAGATTTGACCAAAACCAGGAATGGATCTTCATTCTGATGAGATTTACATTAGTACCCATCCTCCAGGCTGGAGGGTAGATCCTTTAAATTTGTTGACTTTCAGAACTTGAACACCATCCTGGCATGTACAAAATCTTAAACATCGGTCAGCTAATTTATTTTCTAAATCAGTGTCGACTCCTACAAAGAGTCTCTAGGTTTACTTCTCAGCCTCAAATAAAATGCTTGTGCTTCATTATTTCTAGGTTTTCTTACGATTCTTGACACGCACTAATAAAGTGCATCAAGTTTCAGCCACGGAAAGCTTAATTTTAGGTGGTGCAGCTTCATAATTAAGTAATTAATAATTGTGATTTTTTATGACGACTTCTTTGATGTTTCTTCCTCACTGTCTGGAATAGAATGATCTGAGGTTAACGCACGGCAATTGTGTGCATTAAATGATGTTCCATGCGGTATTTCCACACATGTCTACATCTTTCTCTGATCAAATCCAGTTGTTGCTTTTTCCATCTTCCCTATACTACAGAACTCAGCCTGTATTAGCTGCTGCTACTCTATACTGTGTTTACTGTCATGTAGCCCTGGTTGTCCGGAAACTCACTCTGTAGACCAGCCTGGCTTTGAACTCACAAAAGTTGGCTTGTTTTGTCTTCCAAGTGCTGGGAATAAAGGCATGCACCAATATACCCTGGCTAGTGTTCACCATAGTTTATGTGCAAATATTTCTCATATATTTAAAGGATCATAGTATTTTATGCATTTAATATTTGATTTTTGCCTTTTCTAAAATCACTTTTCATTTCATATAATTTAACACAATCTGTCTTCCTTGAACTTTTCTCTCCAGAGAAAAATGAACCTTTGGAATACCTTCTTAGCATGCTCAGAGCTCAGATGTAGACAATACTTTTAGTTCTATTTCATGCAGTTATTTTCACACTTATTTCAGAAGCACTGGTAAAAAGTTATGGGAAGAAAACAGGCTGAAGGGAGCCTTGGCTTAGATTAACACCTCAGATTCCATTTTTATTGGCTACTTGCCTCAAGGCCAAGGTCTTACTGTGGTTTTTTTCCCCTCCTAAACTTATAATTTTCTCTCTCAGTTCATACTATTACTTTCTTAAAGTTTTGATTTACTTTTCAAATTAATTCAGTTCAACTCATTCAAATCCATCCAGTGTTCAGAGAACACTCAAAAGCATTCTGGTAACCCAAGCTCTCAAAAAAGAGAAAAATGAAGTCCATAACTGTAGTTGCTACAATTTCCTCCAGTCGCCAATTTGAAGCTACAGCATGACATTCACAAAATACAAAATTGTTAAGTTGTGTGCAGAAGTGGCCTTCAATGGTGGATCTAAGGTGGTTCATTATACAACTGGACACACACACATGCACATACACACACACACACACACACACACACGTTATTTTGCTAGTAACAGAATTGCTTTTAAAAGATGGTTCCAGATGATAGTTATTGAGCAGATGACAAGCATTAGGTCCTTCAATCTTCACTATATCCTCTTGTTCTCCTTTTAGTATCACAGGGAGCCTGATCCGTAGTTAGCATGTCCCAACACGATATCTATTTTCTTCCTAGGATATGGCTAACTGTATGAAACCAAGTTTCTGCACCCAACAGTTTACAGAGCTGTGGGCCTCATAAATTTGTTCTTTTCCTCCTCTCCACAGGAACACTGAGCTTGAAATCAAATCTTGTTATTTTTAGCCTTAGAGTTTTGCTTATGATATTCCTTGTAGCTTCAGGTCTGAATGACCCAAATCCTCTCCAGCCCCTTTCTCCATCTGTTTATCTTCATCTTCCTCATCACTCTCTCCACCAGAATCTCTCCATGATACTTTCAAGCATTTATGAGACTCTCTCTTGAAGTCTCATGACATGTTATTCAGACATTTCTATGAATCCTACTTCTGTGGTTCTAAACCAGATCTACTAAACTAGCATATCAATGGATAAGGATAGGATATTTTCTTCAAAGGTCTCTGGGTGATTCTGATGGGTAGCCTGGCTTTGGGAACTTTCAGCTGTCACTCAACTTATTCTCTGATTCACAGCTTCATCTTGTCCTCATACTGTCTGGTAGTCAGGGGCTGAACTCTTGGCTTTCAGCAAACACAGAGAAGGCGTATAGAGTCAAAACTGAATGGAGAAGACAGCCATCCATCCAAGAGTCCCAGAACTGTGCTTGACAGGACGGTAAGGATGACCATCATTCTGGAATTTCAGTTGAGGACCAAAGACAGAGAAAAGTGGACCATTAATGTCTAAGTACCTTCTGAAAGCTGACTGCAAATCAGAAGTTTCTGCCATCCACTCTCATCTATTTTCAATGTATGATTGACACGAAGCCAAAGGAAATCACCGGACAGATTAGGGGAAGCCAGCAGTAAGAGTGCTGCTGCTGGTTCCTTCTTCATATTGGGTGATACCTGAATAGTAGCTGAGAAGCTGGCAGGGGTCTCCTCAGAGACAGCAGGAAGTTCTTCTCCCAGCCTGGGAGTCTTCCTTGATTCCAGAAACTAAGCATTTAGAAGATGAAGGTTGCTTGAGAAGAGAGGGCAGAGCAGGCCTAGCTATGCAGAGGGTAGTATTCCAGGGCATGAAAGCACTGAGAAGCTAGATGGAGCTGGACTATCTACACTAGGTCTTTGGCTACAATGGGGAGTTTCCCCAGGACATAGATGCTGAGCTGGTCCGGTGACCTCACTGGATATCAGTTTGGAAGTGAACTGTCCATATCGGGATGCTGTGAAGAATGGGGTTCCAAGAATATCTTTGGTGACCTGCTAAAGTACTTCACTTAACAGAGTCAACATTTAAATACATGGGGCAGGTAGCAGGAGTGTGTATAAGTGCCACTTAGGTAATCTGATCATTTTCTTCTAACTTGTCTTCTGAGCTGACTGTAGAGGTGCCAACAGTGGGAAGGACTTGTGGTGACAGGAACCAGGTGGTGGAAGAGCAGTCCACATTGAGTTGAAGCTATGGAGAAAGACCAGGTTTTGTATTGGGTTGAAATAGATGTTTTTACAATTAGTATTTGAAGGTGAACCAAACAGACTGACTGAAGTGTTCATGTGCCTAATATTGGCAGGAAGCTGAAGAATTTGCTTGTTAGGTCATGAAAAGGCAGGCAGGGTTCAAACAACGAGTGCGAGAAAGATGAGCTTGTTTCTTATTTATTTTGTGTGAAGAACAGAATTTTAATCAATTCATAAACTTTGGAGAGCGTTCTGAAAGCACAGAGAAGGGATCGCCAGGTGTTTGTGAAACACAGGTTACACATTTGAGTGTATGGACCAAAGGATCTCTTTCTACGGGAATGAGATGATCTAAATATGAAACAGGAGTAAGAGAAGCAGGAAAACACTGCCAGACCGAGAAAACACTACATCTGAGTGTCTGGTGCAAAAGACACCCATTCGTCAATGGGAAGAGCCAATGAGCATGGTGGTGTTCCTGGACCATGTAGGCTCTGCTCACATGGAAGGCTCTGCTTCTTACCTTGGGTTAGGGAGAAGTTCCTGCAGGGCAGTGAGCAGGCACTAGGGAAGGATTGCTGGCTTTCCCTCCATGCTGCTGCTGAAGAAGGCGGAGCCGGTGGCTGCTGCCACTCTCTGGCTTTATAAAGGGACCTAAAATAATGAAAGGTGTCAGCTGGCTTTTGAGCTGGACCTACTTTCATTGCAGGGAAGAAGTAGGTTCAGAGGAGTGAAGGGGTTTGTGAAAAGGCAACACCCTGAGTCAGCAAAGGACCAAGTGTAATTGGCCCCTCCTGTGTACTATGCATTGCCCTAGGTTCTGAGCGTACAGGTTTGAGAGGAAAAAGCGAAGACCAGGCTTGAATCCAGTGGGGGTTTTTATCTTATTTCCCCGGGAAGGGCCTTAGAAGACAGCTGCCCGATTTGCTCCGTTCATACTTAAGAAACAGTTTAACGAAGAAGGGATTTTTACCCACTTTTGGCATGTTTTATTAGTTCTAAGCCGGAACTAGAGCTCGGGTCTCTTCATGGTGGCCAAGCTTCTTTCCACTAAGCACAACCTCACCAAGACCCTACTCTTAACTTCCCACGTAGAAGGCACTGGCATTTTTGATATGCACAAATATTCATTATTGTAAATATAGTGTCTAAGGTTATAATGCTTATCTTTGTATAAAATGCCACTTTTCGTATCCAAAATGTAAGGATTTTTGTAAAAACAGTTACAGGAAAATTCAAACGTACTCAAAGAAGGAGAAAGGGTCTAGTAGTGAGTTTGTGTTCCCGCCATCCGTACTCATTGGTGACTAAGGCTGATACTGCTGGCTTGACACCCTCATGCTCTTGATTGCCTTTCCCCTTCCTGCATTTTAAGCAAATATCTGACATAGTATTATTTTGTCTATAATTAGTCACAAAAAATTCATCATTTTGCATATTAATAGTGTGGTTGACACCACATAGCTTTCTTGGCTCCTGAGACCATTTAAACAGAACTGGGCATGGCCTAGTAATGTTCAAAACATCTGAAAAGCACTTTTTTATAAACCACTATTTTTGTGCACTAAAAATTCAGAAGTGTAATTTTTATGTGACCATCAAGATTTTTGTTTCCACTAAAATTTCTGTGTGCTAGAAGAAAGAGTTCTTTGATTACTTACTACAGAAATTTCAGGAAAACTTGGGTTCATGGCAGGTCTAACTGTGAGCCATGAATTCTGGGAGGGAATGTGGTTCCAAGCTTATGCACAGTGCCCTGACACGTTGAGGAAGGGTTAGGCTTTTAGCAAGTGTCAAAGTTTATACTTTATGTACAAAATCTGCCATAGTGTTTCAAGAGAGTTTGGGAATCGCTGGAGAACAGGTCATCCTAGAATCTTGGAATGTAACAGGAAACACGGCAAACAGCATCACTCTGAGGGCCTTACAGACTTGAGCACATCAGTTTTGGAGTGTGTCTTTTAGTGCATGTAAGCATTTATATGTGCAAGTGTATGTGTATACAGGTACGTATGTGTGTGCATGTGTGTGGAGACCGGAGGACAGCCTTAGCTGTCGTTCAACAGGCATCATCAACCTTGTTAGGGCAGTCAAGGTTCTCATTGACCTTGAGTTCACAGTAATGTAGGCTGGGTGGCTGGCAAACCTGAGGATGGGTAAGCCAAGTGATGCAACAGCACAATGGAATGCCTCTCAGCTTAGAGTGACAGATCACACACTTCCACAACGCTCAAGAGCAAAGCTGTGTGAAAGAAGGCAGTTTCTGAAGTCAGCACACAATCTGCCACCAAGTCACTATGGCCTGGAAGAGGACAGGGAAGCACAGGAGGAGGACATTTATGCTTTGTCCGGACGACTGAACTGGGACTTTGATTTGCTTCTGACCTGGGTACTCCTGGCTTTCAAACCATGAAACTTTGGCTGGAATCTTTGCTATCAACTCACCAGAGCTAAGGAATTTGAGTTCACTGGCTTTCCAGAGTCTTCCACTTGAAGATGGTAGACAAAGGGGTTTCTCGTCTTCTATGTGCTCGTAAGCCTATCTAAGAAATCTTTGGATCTCAATGTTAAACACTGAGAAATTATTTACTTAAAGGTTTTTACTTGAGGTCTATATCCACACAAGTCAAGTCTTGATATGGTGATTGTGTCTTCTTTATGCTGAGAGACTGAAGGGATGCAGGATACATGTTCAGTTAAATTAAATGGGATCATTGGCACAATGTTGTGGTAGTAACCAAACACTTTTTATATATAAAAAAACCCTGTATTTAATTTTTGAAAGTATTATCAATGTTTGTGTGTAAATCTCTTGCAGGAATGGAGAAAACTATTTATTGGGAGCCTCAATACAAACGAGAAAACCAGCTTCTACCTTGAAAAGATTTGCAGGCAAGTATGGGAAGCCAGATTTTTGTGCTTAAGTTTTACCAGCTATAGATCCAGGTGAAACATGTACACCTCACAAAAGGGAGTCTTGAAAAATATTCTTCTCTCTTTTTCTCACTGTGTGTGTGTGTGTGTGTGTGTGTGTGTGTGTGTGCGCGCGCGCGCGCGCGCGCGCGTGTGTGAGCATGTGTGTGCAGGCACATAAAGAGACCAGAATAGGGTGGTGGATCTTCTTGGGAAGGAATTACAGGTGATTAGGAGCCACCCAGACACAGGTGTTAGGAATTAAACTCTGGTTTTCTGCAAGAGCACCAAGTACTCTTACTTACTGAGTCATCTTTCCAGTCCCTCAAAGAGCACCTTTAAATAATAATCCCGATTTATTCATTCTTGCACCACCCATATACAGCCAAAGACTAGAGTTCAGAAATTCTCAATACATGTTTACTGAGTTAACAACCAATTCTAATCAAATGTGATAATACAACAGAAAAACTGGTTGGTTTCTGGACAACCACCAATGACCATGGGTCAAGAATCAAGGAAATAATTTCTTTCTTTTGCTGTAAAACTGCCTGCTATCTCTCACCTGATGCTTCTGCACTTCTCCATCTTGGCAAGAGTTTTCTTACTGTGACACAATGGTCTTATACCCTGTAAAGATTTGTCACTTGTATTGGTTTAATAGAATGCTGATTGGCCAGTAGCCAGGCGGGAAGTATAGATGGGTGGCCAGAACAGGAGAATTCTTGGAAGAGGAAAGGCTCAATCTGCAGTTGTCACCCAGACCAAGAGGAAGCAGTATGAGAATGCTTCACTGATAAAAGATACCAAGCCACATGGCTAACACAGACAAGAATTACGGGCTTATTTAAGATGTAGGAATTAGTTACTAAGAAGCCTAAGCTAATAGGCCAATCAGTTTATAATTAATGTAAGCCTCTGTGTGTTTCTTTGGGACTGAAAGGCTGTGGGACCAGGCAGGACAGAAACCTCTGTCAACATTTTCCTTCAAGTCTGTGGCTAAAGTAAAGCTAATAATAAATTAACAATATCACTTGCCTGTTTAAAAACTATTCTAATCATTAAATACACCCCATCCCTTTTGACTCAAAGAAAACGCAAATCAATGATGGCAAAGAACACACGGTGGGCAAAGGTATTGAGTATATAACATTTGGTAGGCATCTACCTACGTTATAAGTGGGTTTAGAACTCGCTAGGCAATGGCAGTGCTGACGTTCTGGTTGAAACCAGGTACTTGATTTGAAAACATTTTGACTGGAACTTCAGTTACCTTCTAGGGGGAAAGCCATTCACAGTGAGGCCGACAGCAGCCATGTGTGACAATGAAGGCGATAGCTTTCTTGTATTGAGGGCTTGCTAGGTGCCAGGCGCTGGGCCCAGGACATGACCTTTGTTTATTTTCCTAAAAGCTGGATTTTTGTATCTAATTTCAACCTTCATGAGGACAAGGAAAGAGGACAAGAAGCTGCCCCAGAGTAACCCACAAGTGAATATTATAATCCCCATTCCACATCCACGTAAGCTGTAGCTTCAGGGGGGTAAGTGTTGGAGCCGAGATGAAGAGCTGAGCTTCAAGGGAAACATCTTCCAGTCCCAAGTTTCCATCGTAATTGCCTCTCCATGTCCAGCTAGATGGTGGGTGGGACACAGGCAGCCAAGAAATGCTTCTGGGATTTTCATTCTGGCCATGGCTCCATGGGTAGATTCTAGGTGAGGTAAAGAGGAGGAGTGCCTCCCAGGCCAGCAGGGCAAGTCTGGCTTCATTCAGAATGACACCTGTGGCCAATGCCCCCAATGAAGGAAATATGAGAAGCCAGAAGGGATGAGGGACCTGGGATCTCACCTCAGGCTGTACTAGGAAACGAGGAAACCGGCAGCTCTTGGCAGCCAGCTAACAAAAGCCTTCAGCTCATTAAGAATAAAAAGGAATTGGTTCCAGAGCTTCTCGTTATGCAAACCTGGCCAAGGTAAAGGGAAAGAACCAGAAGTGCAAATGGAAGGGGGGTTGCTTTCCACCATGTAGGTGGCATTGGGTGCAATGTGAGACCCACCTTGCTCTTGGTCCCCCCCCCCCCAGAATGCACAGGCAGCCCAGAAGTCTGCTTACACCTCCACTGAGAGAGGGGCAGCTCCTCTGCTTGTGGACAAGCACAGTCGCTGCATTGCCCATAGGTGGCATCCAGGGAAATACGTTTGTGGGCCAGGATAGGTCCTGTCCGAAGGGCTTCAGCCACAACCTGGAAGTTTTCAATGGGGTACTGCGTATTGACTGGGATCCCAGTTTGAAGACATCTAGTAACACCTGCTTATGCAGCCCTGTCTTTATCCCCACCATCGTCAGTCTTGACCACTTAGAGAAGTAAGAAGTAGGTTGTATTATCATTTTACTGCCAGCGTAGAAACAGGCTTCAAGTGAGAGAAACAGTCCAAAGCCTTGCAGCCGTGTAGAGATAAACATGGCCTGGAAAACCAGGCTTTTCAGACCCCGCCCTCTAGCTTAAAATGGGAGCAAGGATGACTTGAGACACTTCAGGAGAAGTGGCTCATGCTGTGTACGGCACACAGTGGGTGCTGGGTAAACTTTAAATGGTGACCATCGCACTGCAGTTTTGGCTGCTGGCCTTGGATAAGTGCTATCATCTGCATGTGTGTCTTCTGTCTGTCTTTCCCCCCCCACTTCTGAAAATTACTCAGAGGCCCTTCTTCAGCTCCAGGAGAGTCACTCAGTGATCCTGCCT